CCCCAATTTTTAGTGATATTTCTATCTAATGGTACCAAACATACAAGTTTGTATGAAAATGTGACTCTATTCTGTGCTGGCATGCCACTAGTAAACCCTTATTGATTGGTGGCAGCATAGCCTAGTACCTCAAGATGGTGGCAGCATACTAGATTGAATAGAATATCAGACAACAAAGAGGAAGCCTTTACACTGGTATTGTGTCCCATGTCCCCCCCCCCCCCCCCCCCAAGTTCTACTTCTTATATGAAAAGGAAATATCTTTATCTAATATAACATCACTAAGATTCAAATCCGGGGAGAGCGTGGATGAGCTCCCTCTATCAATTCCAGCACATCATGCGGATGAGCTCCCTCTATCAGCTCCAGCACCTCATGAGGGGACATGAGAGAAGCCTCCCACAAGGATGGTAAAAACATTGTTTATTTATTTATTCATTTCACAGTTTTCTATACCGAGCTTCTCAACCTTATTGAGGGACTCAGCCCGGTTTCCAGCCATAAAAAACATATACACTCATTAAAATATCATATATCACAATTACAAAAACAACTTTAAAAACACTTTATATAAAACTACAGTGGTCAGTCGTCCTATTAAGATGGATCTACATCAACTTCTATCCAGGGTCCTATGATGTTGTCTCATTCATCGAAGGCCTGACTCCACAGCCACGTCTTCACCCGTTTCCTAAATGTTAGGATGAATGGGGCGGTTCTGGCCTCCAGAGGGAGAGAGTTCCAGAGTCGCGGGGCCACCACCGAGAAGGCCCTGTCCCTCGTCCCCACCAGGCGCGCTTGCGAGGCCGGTGGGACCGAGAGCAGGGCCTCTCCAGATGATCTTAATAATCTTGATGGTTCATAGGAGCTCCCCTGGGTAACGTCCTTGCAGAGGGCCAATTCTCTCACACCAGAAGCGACTTGCAGTTTCTCAAGTCGCTCCTGACATGACAAAACAAAATCCTAAGGCAAAATGAGACCAAATTTTATTTAATGCACAGATCTAAATTTAGTTGTTATTCCCAACTTGAGGAGCCTTGTTTTTTGGGGGTTTTTTTGTCGTGTCAGGAACGACTTGAGAAACTGCAAGTCACTTCTGGTGTGAGAGATTTGGCCGTTTGCAAGGACGTTGCCCAGGGGACGCCTGGATGATTTGATGTTTTTATCATCCTTGTGGGAGGCTTCTCTCGTGTCACTTCATGAGGAGCTGGAGCTGATAGAGGGAGCTCATCCGCCTCTCCCTGGATTCGAACCTGCGACCTTTCAGTCCTGCCGGCACAGGGGTTTAACCCACTGTGCCACCGGGGGCTCCTAGGAGCCTTGTTAAATCTATGGGACATAAAGAAATGTTTATTTAAGAAGTACCTTTCTCTCATTCATTCATTCATTCACTGTGTCTCATCTAAATTAACAATTGAATTTAGTCTTTTTAAAACAACAGCAACAACAAAGCGAATTATAAACATCCATTGAGGATTGGCATGTATTTCTAGGACTTCTACCAGCAATGTAACCAATTTATGAGCAAAGGAACCTCACATAATATTTAATACGATGTGAGCCTCTTTGAAGAGTTTTAGCTGGAAATGGATATGAGTGTTCTATTTCTTACACAGTACCCATGAAAATGAAATATTAAATGGCTCTGTTTGTGGAGCTTTGTTTTCTACTTCCAGTCTATCTTCAAAATCCTCAAAAAGCTCTTCTCTTTCTATGGGGCAGAGTTTCTGTACCCCTAGCAATAGGAAAGTACTAGTAGGGCCATTTTCAGATCTGATATGCATATGCTACAAAGATGGTGAGACAAATCCTGGGGGGAAAAGAGGTAGGAGGAAAAGACCTGCACTGCAAAACAAATAGTATTTTTCGTATGTGAAGCAGATGTCTTTATTTTTTATGGAATTCTAATACCGGATGCAGTAGACTACATTTCAGAGGAAGGACCTGGCAAGAATGCTCCTTGCCTAAGAAAGCCATATGAAAATCACGAGGTTGTCATAAATTTGAGGGTGATCTGAAGGCACAGACATGCACACGCAATGGCCCCTTCTACACAGCTGTATAAAATCCAAATTATCTGCTTTGAACTAGATTATATAGCAGTGTAGCCCCAGGTAATCAGTGTTCAAAACAGATAATATGGATTATCCGCCTTGATATTCTGGATTATATGACAATGTAGAAGGAACCAATAATAGATCCCTATCTGCCAAAGTTGACTTAGATTTATTTATTTTTTGTACATGTAATTTGTATTTCTTTTCTTTTTCTTTTTACAGTGTGTCAAGGCTTTTTGGAAAATGTTTACAATTCTTTGAAAGAAAAGCATTCAGATTTTTCTGTGGCCTCTATAGAGAATGAATTAATCAGGAGCTGCATGAATACGAAAGGAAAAGAAAACCGCTTGGTATGCCATTATTATTATTATTATTATTATTATTATTATTATTATTATTATTATTTTACTGGCACAGAACCACAGTATGTCACAGCAAATGAGATCTATATGCTGGATTTCATATCACAAAATCACAAGTCAAACACTACCCAAGCTTCTAGAACTGTGTGATGTATTTTCGAATGATGCGTGCAGATCCAAGTAAGGTGGCCTTTTGCAGTTGACAGTTCGTGATTTTGTCAATGTTTATTCTTTCCAAATGCCGGCTGAGATCTTTTGGCACGGCACCCAGTGTGCCGATGACCACTGGGATCACCTGTACTGGTTTACGCCAGAGCCTTTGTAGTTCGATTTTGAGGTCCTGATAACGGCTGAGTTTTTCCTGTTGTTTTTTCTCAATGTGACTATCACCCGGTATGGTGACATCAGTAATCCAAACTTTTTTTCTATTCCACAATCATGATGTCTGGCGTATTGTGTTCCAAAACTTTATCAGTCTGGATTCAAAAGTCCCACAGTATTTTTGCAAGTTCATTTTCAACTACCTTTGCAGGTTTATGATCCCACCAGTTCTTTACTACTAGCAGATGGTACTTGTGACATAAGTTCCAATGAGCCACAGAGTTGTGCCTCTGTTTGTAGTCTGTCTGTGTGATTTTCTTGCAGCAGCTGAGGATATGATCAATGGTTTCATCAGCTTCCTTGCACATTCTGCATTTTGGGTCAACTGATTTTTCAGTCCTGGCCTTAATGGTATTTGTTCTGATGGCTTATTATTATTATTATTATTATTATTATTATTATTATTTTACTGACACAAAAACACAGTATGTCACAGCAAATGAGATCTATATGAGATCTACATTTTATATCTATATAAAATTATTGTTATTATTATTGTTATTATTATTATTATCACTCCACTTTTCTCTCTTGATTGAGACTCAAAAGCAGATTGTATTCACTCATTTTTTTCTTAAATTTTATTATTTATTTATTTACTTTATTTATATACTGCTTTTCTCATTTTTTCTTAAATTTTATTATTTATTTATTTACTTTATTTACTTTATTTATAAACTGCTTTTCTCAGCCCTCAGGCGACTCAAAGCGGTGAACAACATCGATACAAAACATCACGAGACAAGTATAGGGCAATTAAAAACAATTGGAACATAAATCATTAAACATCTGTATATCAATCATTAGCGCCTCAACAGTAAAATCAGAATCCAGTCTCATCATCCATTATTCCGTATTCCTATGTTCAATTACACTGTTTAATCAAATGCTTGTTCGAACAGCCAGGTCTTCACTTTCCTCCGAAATGCCAGCAGGGAGGGGGCCAATCTGATATCTGCAGGCAGGGCGTTCCACAGCCGAGGGGCCACCACTGAGAAGGCCTGTCTCTCGTCCCCGCCAAGCGTGCCTGTGATGCAGGCGGGACAGAGAGCAGGGCCTCCCCAGATGATCTTAGTGTCCTAGCCGGTTCATAGGAGGAAATGCGTTCGGAGAGGTAAGTATGGCCAGAACCGTTTAGGGCTTTATAGGCTAACGCCAGCACTTTGAATTGTGCCCGGTAGCAAACTGGCAGCCAGTGGAGCTGGCGCAACAGAGGAGTAGTATGTTCGCTGAGTGCCGCTCCTGTTAGCAACCTGGCTGTCGAACGCTGGTCCATTTGAAGCTTCCGAGCAGTCTTCAAAGGCAACCCCATGTAGAGAGCGTTGCAGTAGTCTATACGGGATGTAACCAGAGCGTGGACTACCGTGGCCAAGTCAGACTTCCCAAGGTACGGGTGCAGCTGGCGCACAAGTTTTAACTTAAAATAGTTTGAGCTGTGAAAACCTGAGAATTGGAAGGGGAATGCAATTGACTCCTAACCACTATTGGAGAATTGGGGTTGATCTAACAATATCACTTCTCTTTTGTAGTGCTATTACCTTGGGGCCACAAACGATGCCGCTACCAAGATTATTACTGAAGTCAGCCGCCCAATGAGTGCTCATGTACCTGTGACGAAAATCTGTGAGAAGCTCAAGAAAACGGACATTCAGATTTGTGAGCTCAAATATGGTATGACTAGATCAAGAGCAAAGTGAACACGATTGCTCTGTTTATGAGTTGTTTTTAAAATGTATGCAGCATTATTTATTTTTAAAAACATTTGTTTTGGGCTACAGTGATTAGGATGTACTTTGGTTTTTCTATAGGACAGAGAAGTCATATTGAAATGATGGCTTGGAGCACAACTATTTTCAAATTAATTAATTAAATTAATTAAACAGGAAACAACACTAGCAAACTAGGAACATTTTTCTTTATTATTGTTATTATTATTATTCAGAGGCAGGATGACTATCTGTCGGGGCTACTTTTTTTTGAAATAATTTTTATTGATAAATTTTGGGATGGGTATGAAATGGGTAGCGAAATAGGCTGAAATGAAATAGGATGGCTATCTGTCGGGGCTGCTTTGATTGTGCTTTTGCTGTTTGTCAGAAAGAAGGGGGTGGGACTAGATAGCCCTTGGGGTTAACCGAAGGAAAAGGAGGAGGGAAGGAGGCATCTGGGGGCTCTCCTTTTGCCGCTATTCCACCGAGTTTAAGGCAGCTTCCTCCTTGAAGAAGGAAGGAAGGAAGGAAGGAAGGAAGGAAGGAAGGAAGGGAGTAAGGGGGAGGTAAAACATGGCACACACAACACAGAGGAGGGAGGGAAGCCCCTAGAAGGGAACACAACATACTGCCAATCTTCTCTGTGATCAAAAGGTAATAGTGGAGCTTTCTCTCTGAGTGGCATTTCGGCTCCTCTCACAAATTGCCTAACTGTATCATTTTAAAGCTGAGAATGACGAATACCATCACACGACAGAATTGACCATTTTGCCCATCTCTATCTGGATAATTTGCAAAAAAAAGTCACTTGCCAAACAGCTTAGAAAGCATCTGAAGAGACAATCCTTCGCAATTCTTTTTAAACCACGAGAGATCTCTGTTCTGATACAGCTGTACCAGGAGCTCCAACTTTATTTGCTTTGTATTAAATGTTTGATTGCAGTCCTAGGTTTCAGGGACTCTGCAGATAGGTGGCTTCTTTGGTTGCAGTCATAGGGCAAGTCACCTGTCCATCATCGTTAAGTTTTGGTCCCGCCCCTTGCTCAGGGCAATTGGGAAGGGAAGGGAGCCATTTTTTAGTTAGTCTCAGCAAGGAAAGCTAATGTATAGGACGTGTGCAAGCTTCCCCTGTACAAAAGCTTCAACCCTCAAGATTTCTGGGGAAAAACAGTTTTAAGAGCATCCAAGAATTTCCAGGAAAATAGCCCTAAAACCAAAGAACTCCAGCTGGAGAGTCTAAGCCTTTACTGGTAGGTCCACTCGGCGTTCGAGAAGCAGTTCGACCCGATAGCGGAGCCCACATCAGTAAGGGTTAGATTACAGTCAGCCTGGGAGAAGTTAAAAAGGGATTTTCCTTTAAAGAAGAAGTTATTGAAGACAGTTGCCTGTCCTTCGTGGGCAAGATTAGGAATTCACCAGTTGCCTAAAAGCTTGGAATCATTTGCTTAACTTTACTGAAGACAAGAGAAGTTTCTGTTTGGTTGTTCATTAATAAAGGACTTTGTTGTATTTAACAAGCCTTCTAAAGACTATTTGTGGTGAAAACCCTCTGAGAACTTCTCTTTAGGCCCCCTGGCTTCCCGCTGGGCAAAGGTTGCATGTCCTGTTCTAAAGGAAAGTCTTTACAGGCCCAGCGCGTGACAGAACAATCTCTACTGTAAATGTGATGAACATAGTAGATTGCCATTTCTTAAGTGGGTGATTCAATAATATTTAATGAATGTGATGAAGTGGCAGAACATCTAATGCAGATTTTTTTTGTTACAGAAAGAAAACTTGACTTAACATCAGTAGACCTCTCCAAGATGAGAGTGGCTGAGCTGAAGAAAATCCTGGACGGCTGGGGGGAAGTGTGCAGAGCTTGCATTGAAAAAACAGACTTTGTGGATCTGATTAAGGAGCTTGCATCAAAGCATGCAGCTTCGGCATCCAGAGCTGACCTTTAATGAAATTGTTCTTGATCCAAGTATATACCTATCTAATACCTGGTGTTACATCCTGAAACCTAAGTGAAAGTGAAGACATGGTTTGACTTAACTAACAAGAACAATTCCAAGAAATTGGTATTAAATACATGTTAAATGAAGCTTAAGAACATTTCTATGGCAAAAGATAATGACTGAAATGATATGAAAGATTGCAATAATACATATTCAAAAGATTTTTAAAATTATGACATTAATTACTAGCCTTTCAAATGGTATCTTGAGATCAGGGCTGGGAATTCTCATAGACAGTATGCTGTCCACAAAAACCTTTGATACAGACCACATTGGAGTGAAATTCCAGGATCAGGATCCATCACAACTATACAAATGGGAAAATAATAAAATATTCAAAAGGTAACTTCTTTCTAAAAATGTCTAACAATTGCTTAATCTATATAAATAAAAATGTAATGTTCGTTTGTGGGATTAACATAACTTAAAAACCACTGGACAAATTGACACCAAATTTGGACACAATACACCTATCAGGCCAATGAGTGTCCATCACCCCTAAAACACACACAAAAAACCCAGCAAAACAGACTTAAAACGCCCAAAAATAAACTATATTTACATATACACATACACACATATACATATACACATGCACACATACATACATACATACAGACAGACACACACACACATGTATACACAAGGACACACTAATATACACATTTATTTTTATTTTTATTTATTTATTCAACTTGTATACCGCTACTCCCAATTTGGCTCGGAGCGGTTTACAGAAACAGATTAAAACAATACAATTAGCTTTAAAATGACCATAACAATAACAATAGGCAGCGAGAACAGGCATAGCCCGGGTTGTTCACCCATCAAAAGCTTGTCAGAAAAGAAAAGTTTTACAGGCTTTCCGAAAAGCAAGTAGGTCTCGGATGGTTCGAGTTTCAACTGGCAAGGCATTCCTTAAATAAGGGGCCACAATCGAGAAGGCTCTATGCCTAGTAGATGACAAATGATAGGTCCGGATGTTAGGGACTGCAAGCAGATTTTGGTCTTCAGACTGGAGTAATCTCTGGGGTTGGTAGGGGGATAAGCGGGCCCTTAGGTATACCAGCCCCAGACCATATAAGGCCTTAAAGGTTAGTATCGGCACCTTGAAAGTGATCCGGTACTCAGTCGGTAGCCAGTGCAGCTGTTGGAGAATTGGGGTGATACGACACCTCGCCGGCACCCCGGCGAGAAGACGAGCCGCCACATTTTGCACCAGCTTCAGTTTCCGGATCACTGACAAAGGAAGGCCAATGTAGAGGGCGTTACAGTAGTCAAGCCTCGAGATGACCGTCGCCTGGATCACCGTAGCCAGGTCGTTCCTAGATAGGAAGGGAGCCAGTTGCCTAGCCTGACGTAGATGGAAAAACGCAGATCTGCTCACAGCAGAGACCTGGGCCTCCATTGTGAGCAGCGGGTCCAATAAGACACCAAGGCTTCTTACAGAAGATGACGGACGTAGTGTCTCGCCATCCAGAGTAGGCAGCTGGATCTCCCTCCCACCCGGACGGCCCTGCCAAAGGATCTCCGTCTTCGCTGGATTCACCCTCA